AAGTAGTGGAATATTTAACCCACCCTGTAAAAATCTAAACCTTAAAGATAACTTTATCTGGAATTATTTTATGAAGATGGAACATATCGAATTTGTCAAGCAAAAGCATCAATTTCTCTAGAACATCCAGAGTGTATATGTGATAAGTAAAAAATAATCATTGATTCGATAGTTTTAATAATTAAATCCACAAAATATGAGTGTTGTAACATTCTTAACCACCGCAAATATTTGAAAACATTACGAATGCTCAAAAGTATTACGAAAATTCGAAAATTCGGATGTAGTTATTATTATTGTTATCATGCCTAAAAACTTTCGAATATTCGAATCTGGATTAAGGTTACGAACAGGAATACTAGATCATTGGGAAAAGCATCAATTAATGGTAACATCAACACGAAAACATTTTTTCATGGTGTTTAAAAAAGCAAAAGCCAAGTTTTATTTTAAAATAAACTTAATTTTTGCTTTTACATGTTTAGCGCATTCATTATTCATGCACCGTTCGGGTTGCATATATCTTTCAAGAATATCCAATATAAACTATTTCCAAAAGTTTACTACAGACCGTCCATTCAACACCTTTTAATTATTTTTATATATAGTCAGGAGGAGCCTTTACATACCATAAAGAGCTGGAATACGGGGATTGTTATCACACACTTTTATCAATAATGGTTCTCCAAAAAAAAAAGAAAAATTGCTTAGAGAACGAGACTTTGGAACCAGTAAAGTATATATTTTTTTTTCATTTTTAATAAAATTGATCATGCCGTATTATGAGATTTGGAAGCAAAATTCAAAAGTAAAATGCGACAACTAAAGGTGTTGATGGTTCTAAAACTGTAAATCCCGTTTATCATGCACTATTTTCTGAGGTTATTGACAGTGCAATTGCACTTAAAATGCTTTTTGGACCTGGGGAGTTGCTGTCACTTCTCTTGATGTTATCTTCAAAAATACTGGAAAGCCTGGTGATGTTACTTGTTGCCATAGTTGGAATTCGTTTTGTTCTGGAACTAAGATATTCAGAACCTAATCCGGCTGATGTTCTAAAAGGATATTTACCTAGTTCAGGAATCTTCACAGACTCTAGAAAATTGTACATTGCAATTGGTAATATTGGTGCAACAGTTATGCCTCTCAATTTATATTTGCATCCACACTTGGTCAAAGTTAGAAAACATCGTGAAGAGTCAAAAGAAATTAATAACAAAGACAATAAATTGGAATCAGGTCAAGATATAGCATCAACAACATCAATATTCCAATCTATCGTTAGTCATGCAATAACATTCTCAACAATAGATTAAACGGCTGAATTAACTTTTGCATTTTTTGTCAATTCTTCAATTCTATATCGTGGCTGCTTCTAATTTCTTTTACAACGAATCAGGGAGCATTGAGGTGGCTGATTTGTTTGATGCGTTTGATTTATTAAATCAATACCTTTGAAGAACAGCTGGGTATATTTTTGCATTAGCACTATTGATTGCTGGTCAAAGTTCAACACTTACAGCAACAATTGCAGGCCAAATTGTTATGGAAGGGTTTTTAGGTTGGACAATAAGACCATGGTTAAGGAGGTTTCTCACAAGAATAATTGCTATAATACCTGCCGTGTTAATTGCCATTTTTAGAGGTGAAGAAGGATTGAACGAAATGCTGGTAGCAAGTCAAGTGGCTTTAAGTATTCAATTACCTTTTGTTATTATACCTTTAGTCTATTTTACTAGCAGCAGGAAATTGATATCAGAAAAGTATTTAACAAATCAAAATTAAATAATAATAATAATAACAACAACAATAATAATACAGATGGGCTACAACTACAGATTGATGATAATGATAACAATGATAATGATAGTAATGATAATGATAATATTAATAATAATAATGGCAGTAGTGATAATCCTGAGTCGATTTATTTCCTTAATTTTAAAATACCATTTTATTAATTATAGTTTCATCTATTATTAGTTATATTATTTTGTTTTTAGATTTATTTTTGGTTTATAGTACTGTTAGAAATGCAATTGGGATTTGGACTAGGAAAATCAACCTCTCAGCTGATTTTTTTTATTTTGAGTTTTCTTACTTAATACTAATCTATTATATAAGGGTGACAATTGGAGAAAAATCGGATCTTGTTTTTATAGTAGAGGAATGAGATATAGGGCTTGGAATACTTTCTTAGCATATTAAAAACATATATGTAACCAATTTTAAAAGGATTGTTAATAAAAATAGATTTTTTGTCTGAGGGGTCGATTTTCCTAGTCCAATTTCCCAATTGAAGATGGTGATTAAAAGGCTGGAGTATATATATTTTTTTATTTATAGATTTTTTTGTATGTTCAAAATGTAATAATATATAATAAAATGCTATTATATGAAATATATTTATTAATGATTTTTTTATTATGATTTGTCAAATTTTACTATCTAGAGTTAGATCTTCTAAATCGACCACCACCGCCTCCAAATCTATTACCACCATCGCCGCCGCCTCCAAATCTGTCACCACCTCCAAATCTGCCACCACCACTACCACTACCACCACCACCACCGCCTCCAAATCTTCCGCCGCCTCCAAATCTGCCACCACCACCACCACCGCCTCCTCCGAACCTACCTCTGCCACCGCTTTGTCTATTACTACTGCCAAGTCCAATTTTTTCTAATAAACTGTCGCTTATTCTTGACTCGGTTCCAAAAGATCTAGCAAGTTCTTCAACTGCTGGTAATAAACTATTTTTACCAAATAAATGTGTACTGGATTTTCCTGCATCTGTTAAAGACAATAATAAAATTATTCCCAATTAAAAAACAATAAAAAACCAAATCTCACATCTACTAACTATTATTGACACTATTACTATTACTATTACCACCGAATGAATAAAACACTTACAATATCCGAGGAAAGATCCACATGCAGAATGCACATCATCGGGATCAATCATATTGATGGTTTTTTCAACAGCTGCGTCAGGCTCAATTCCAGACATATTTATTTTTTCTATTGGCAAGTCCTTAATCTGAGATATGAATTTATCCTCAAATGGTGCCAACAATATAATACCTTCACCTTCTTTACCAGCACGACCTGTTCTGCCAAGCCGATGAATATATTGTTCGCGTGAAGATGGTGCACCTATCTGAAGCACCAATGTTACACCTGGATAGTCAACTCCTCGAGCAGAAACATCTGATGTAACAAGGATTGCATCACGAGAACATCTACGAAACCTCTCCGAGATTCTGGTTCTATAATCTTGTGTCTTCCCGGAATGAAGTTCAAACACTTCTAAATCTCGAAGACTTCGAATAAAACTTGCATAAAGGATGGTTTGTGATTTGGTTGGTAAAAACATTATTATTTTTGTATTTTGATGTAACAATTTATGATCAGCGATTATTTTACGAATGATGTGAAGTTGAGACGTGTATGGTGAGACAAGGTATGATTGTTTGACTTGAAGATTTGTGTTAACATCGTTTGGATCAACTGTATCAATAAACATGTGGTCTGGGTTTAATGCAAACCTAGCGACTTGTCGAATTTCTTTTGACACAGTTGCTGAAAAGAAAAAAGTTTGACGCTCTTTTGGAAAACATGAAATAATGTCTTCAATTGCATCACGGAATCCCATGTCAAGTAATTGATCTGCTTCATCCAGTATAAGCTATCGAAAAAAATTTAATAGATAATGAGTGAAAAGTAATATAAAAATAAAGAAATTAATATATATATATATATATACACATATATATACACATATATATACATACTGTTTTAATTCCTTGACATTGCCTGTTAAAAAATTTTTCGGTGGTTAACAAATCAAAAATTCTACCAGGAGTACCAACAACTATATCGACTCTCTTTTTCATTAATTTTGAAACTTGTGTCGTTCTTCTTTCACCACCTACTAAACAATGAACCTCAAATGGATGATAATATACAATTTTTTGTGCTTCAGTTGCAATCTGTTGTGCAAGTTCACGAGTAGGTGAAAGAATCATAATTGAGACTATTCTATCATTTCGGCCTTTACTATCAGTATTCCTAAGCATTGTTTCTATTGCTGGAATTAGAAAGGCCAGAGTCTTTCCAGTACCAGTCTTAGCCTTTACAAACATGTCACCTTCGATTGGTAACTGGGATAACACAGCATCTTGAACTTTTGTCATTGATTGATATCTAAATACTTCTTTTAAAGCTTTCATAGTATGTGGTGCGATTGATGTTATGTCTTCAAAGTTGGCAGGTACATATTCATTTCTTGATACAATCTGATCCTCATTCCTTTCTCTTCTTAATTCTGAATTATCAGATGGCCCTTTTCTCCTTACTTGGACCTGGACATTACGATTTTGAATCATTAATGCATTATTGCTATTATGATTGATGCTCTGTATAGAATTGAAAACACGACCAACATTTGATAGTTTGGTACGCCCACCACAACCAGTATTAACTAAATATCAACCAAATCAAAAAAAATGAAATTATGGTTCTCTTTTTTTTTTTTTTTTTTGGAAAAAAATACTTTGGAACTTTTTAATATAAAAAGTTAAAGCATTAAACAAAAAAAATGATAATAATAATAACACTAACGGTTCCTTATTTGCGATATTTTGATGGTTTTCCACAAGTTACATCTTATACTTCTAAAGAGTGTTTGTGCAGACATTTTTTTTTATAATCAATTAGGTATATATTTTTTTTTTGATGAGTCGTCACCACTCTGATTTCTTATCGAGATTTAAAAAAAAAATTTTTGAATTTAATTGGTAAAATTTTTGAATATCAAATAAAATATCACCCGGAGCCTCCCTTTTCACACCCTAAATTTTCCATTAATATTCTTTAGAAAGAGGAACTTTTTTTTTAAAAAAAAAAGAATAATCAGGATGTTAATCTTGAGTCCCAAAATAAATTTTAATGTCTGTCTGTTTAGGGTGGTTTCAGACATTGTTTGTGTTGCCTCCATGTTCCACGTACATGGAATCTTTTCAATAGAAAGAGAGGGACCCAACCTACTCTAAAAGCGATTCTATATGTAACTTGTCACGAGAAATATTTTCAACTTAGAAACCACACCCACTTTACACTATAAAACTTTGCTTTAAAGAATGCAGATCTTTTTTCAATGTTGGATCTCTCTTTCTATCGGAAGGATTCCACATTTGTCTTGTTTTGAAAAAATGGAAGATACTCTGGTAAAGGGTAAAGAATCTATTGAATTTATAAAATTGTGGACAATGGAATGAATGCATCAAAGCCTAGTAATATTGGTAGAACTGTCGAGGATATTTTATACTTGCATGTTGTTGGTTTTCACTGTCTACCACTAGTAAATGCATTGTAATAGCTCGGCACATTCTTTTACCGTTGATTTAAAGGATAGTCAAGCCGAACCCACGAACTTTTTTCTAAGATGAAATAGACGAATTGGAATCAGGAATGAACTAGAACTAAGAATTATATTAATTCATATGAAACAGTACATTCTGTTTTACGCAAATGGTTAATTTTCGGTCACCTTAACACAACAAACAATACACACGGAATCTGAGAAATTTGGAAGTTGATTGAGAGCTATTATGACATTAAAGAAGATTTTACTGTTAGTATTATTGGTGCAATTACTTTACTATGATTTTTATCAATCATAGCATTGGATGGAATATATCAATACTAACTTTGTTCATTCATCTACACAAATTGGAATTATCACATGAAAAAATTCGAGAAAAAATTTAAAACAAAAAAATAACACAGTAAAATATGGTTTTTTAATTTTGTATATATAAATAATTTTCTTTAAGGAATTAAACAATTATTAATAAAAACAACTAATTATAAAAATACAATTCTATATAAACAATAAATAAATTTATAATATCCAAGTTATTACTTAAACCCTACAAAATACTGCAATGAAATAAGTCAGAGCAATTCAAATTAACAATTGACACAATGAAATATAATAAATAGTTTACTTAAAATTAAATATTTTGATCTTATCTGTTTCATTCTAATTCATCTATGTCATTTCCATTGTGAAGGTCTTGAACTTTTTGAGAAATTGATAATAAATGGGTTTTACTTTTTGTCCTAAGCCCTCTGAATTGTGGTCAATCAATTTCATTCAAAGATCCATTAATGTTTCAATTACATGCAATAGTTCATCTTTTGTCAATGAACTAGCTGTTGATTGTTTTTCTTCTTCTAATGTAACAGGAATAGGGTGAAATTTTTCTAATGACTTAGGCTTAGCTTTCCTTTAATATAATCCTGGTAACAATTGCAAGCTGTTGAACTAAACAATTTCATTGCTTCACTTAATTTGTTCCCATCCAAACTCTTAAAAACAGGTATATTTTTAGATGGATTAAGGAAATCATTATTTCCCAATTCTATTTGAAAGTGCTGTGATTCTTTCTCAAAATCAGGGCATGAACACAAACCATTGTTTTCTTGGTCATTATACTCAATTGTTTTAAATAATTTTTTTCGAAGCTGATGATGGCAAGGAAATTTGTAAAAACTTGTATTATTGTTATTAAAAATTATATTAAAATCAGTAAATGCTAATTACTTACCTTCAAAAACTTGGTGCAATTCCTTGCAGCAATCTCCCAATGTCTTTGAGTTGGCACAGGTGGAACAAGTGCCTTTAGTGTTTTGTTTATCTCTTCAAGTATTGCATCTAACCCTTGATGTTGATTAGACCATCCTGATTTTGAAACAGCAGAATTTTGTTCAATGAGCTGGTGAATTTCAGGATGAAGACGAAGTAATTGTTCTTCATAAGCAACTTCAATTGAACAATAAATGGGATGTCATCTTGCTGACCAAATCGGAGCAAAGGCCCTTCATGCTGCTGCTTTCAATAGTGGTAAGTTGTCTCTTATACTGGTATGATAATTGATTACAGCTTGCAAATACAAAAAATCTTCGATGATATATGGTTAATCAGGTTGTAAAATTATCATTGAGTTATTTTGCAAATATTAATTATTTACCTGTTCATATTTTAACTTATACAATTCATCTTTTTGGTTTTTAGCCCAATTGAGATATCCATCAATGCAAGGTTCAGAAACGGATACAATATAAGGCCATACCAGTTCCATTGCCATTGCATGCCAGTATATATTACAAATTGAATCCCATGCTTTGTGATGGTCTGCGCATTTTTTATAATATCCTAATTGTTTCTCATTATGAAACCCTTGACATTGTGCAAAATGTTTTAAATCAATATTCCTAAAATCAAAAAGAGTATTATTGTAAAATAAATTATAATTCAACTTAAATAGCACTTGTAACTATTACAAAACTTGCCAGTTCAATTCTACAAAAGCTTTTAACATATTCATTTCTTCATGAAATGGCCTGGGTATCAAGATAATTCCAGGATAATCATTTTTAAATTTTTGTGCATAATTGTATGGAACACCATCACAGACTACTGGAATCCACTTGCACTAACCTTTGTTGATTCCACTAATTTCTTGAATATGTTCTAATACTTTACGAACATTTTCAATTGAATTAGGATTTAATGGCAAAGGGTCTGGAACTAAAATCTCAGGCACCTTAACATCTTTTTGGGGTGGTGACTTTTGAGTTATGCTAATTGGATTTGCATAAGAATCCAAGTCCTCTTTTTGAACTTCATAGAATTTGATATTTAAAGGCTTGACAGCATTTTTCACAAAAGTTTCTTGTAAAATTTCCTCCTGTGTTACTTTTTGTGTTCCAGCAAGAGTAGGTAATTTTGCATTGCATGTAAAACAAATATGTTTTGTATTTAAAATTCCTTCCTTACCACATTTGTTGCACTTTTTTTGACTATCCATTGTCACATAATGTTTAACTAATAAGATTTGTGTCACCATTTTTTTCTGCACATGCTTCAGCTAATATAATGGCTAGATAATCATTTAATTCATAATCAAGTAGCTCTTGCATTGCTGGTATAATGTGATAAAGTTCTTTTATTTGTAATGTATCTAAAGTATGATATAACCAAGGCTCTTGAAGCATCTGTTTCTGATCAGTAGTATCAAAATTAAATGTAAGGAAACTTGTAACTGTATGAAAAGTTACAGTGTTATGGCCACGATCTAAATAGTTTTTTTGCCCTTTTTGTTCATTATCAAAGGCCAAAAATAATAAGCCTTTAGGAAGTTGCATCGGCTCACCAGCTAAATTTTCTTGCCATTTGAGAAATTTGAAAAGCTACCAGAACTCAAAAAATGTCAATATCTACTATTTTTTTGGATTTTACAATTGAATATTTAATTGCAGATGATGCTAAATTGATGGCAGAAACATATTTAAGTTTCTCACTTCATAGATAGCATTCACTGCCACAGAACACTTAAAAAGTTTTTCTCCCTCAAGTTGGTTTTCATTCTCATTACATATAACAGTTTTTATGAATTCTAAGACAACTGGATTTCATTCAGCCAGCCATTCAAAAGTTGAATAACCTAAAAGGTTATCCAAACTAAATCTTTTCTGATCGCTCATTAAATTTATAATATCATCATATATATTTTTACATTCTCTTTTAGCATTTCTCTTACAAATTCAATTCTTGTTTGTTGATCATTAAATGTATTATTCAACTTCTCTTTCAATTCTTGATTTTCAGATATTAATATTGAATTTTGTAATTTTAGTTCATTTATTCTTCGTTGATGCACTCCTATGATATTAATATATTCTATTTGTTGAGCCTCAGATTGGTTTAATTGTTCCTTTATTTTTTCCAATTCTAAAAAAAGATTTGCATGGTGTTAGTTCTGTTTTCGTGTAATTTTTGCATCTTCATCTATTCTTCATTGATATTCTTCAATAGTATTAATATATTTTATTTGTTGAGCTTCAGATTTGTTTAACTCATTCTTTATTTTTTCTAATTCTAACAAAATGGTTGTGCAATGTTGGTCCTGTTCTTGTACAATTTTTGCACCTTCACCTTCATTTTCATCTTCATCAGTAGTTATTATTTTAAATCATTTGGTTGGTCTTCTCTTGAAAAACTAGAAATAAAACCATCCTTTGCTTTAATTTTCAAGAAGAATATTAGAAGTAACAATTTGATTGTAATGTCTAACACAAATTGAATAATTATCTAAAGATGGAATTAATAAAGATAATTCATAAAAATACTTAACAAATATTTTTACACATTCAGCTGCTTTATTCCCTGATGCCAATCTCCAATATTTCTTGTCATGGTTAACATCATCACATGGTCCTAACTCATATTGCAACCAATTTCATGAAGATAATTGTGAACATTCAATAGTGCCTTTATTAGCAAGGAAATCATATGTATCTGGAAGATTTGATTCATTTATTAATGAAGGGCATGACATTGCTCAGGATATAATTAAACATTTGTAAGTTGTTTTTATCTAAAGCCATATTTTTTGTCTTTGAGATGACTAATACTAACAACATTAAATAGTTCCATTAGATTAGAGACACCTGCACACAGAGAATCAAGATCAGAAGATCTAGAGCATACATTTGGTATTGATACAACTGTATACATATTTAATAGATTATTCAGGATGCATTTAGATGTCTTGGACTGGGGATGGTATACACACCCCTACAAAAAGTATTGACTCACTTGATGATCTGTCAAAATAATTGAATAAACAG